ATAACATTGCAGCCAAATACCGGATATTAAGGGATGCCGTTAGATGGGGATATCCGAATACTTGAGTCAATATGGAAAATTCTAATTAAGGAGAATTTCTGCCCAATAAGTATCCCTAATATTAGGTTTGGGAAAAAGAAATCCATTAGACCGGTGGAACGATCGAATTTTACAGGCATGTCGTAACATCGTCCAGGAGCTAAAAATTAAACCATTCACACAAACCTGGATTCAAAAAGAAGCTCAATGGTTGGGTGCCTCACCAATTAACAGAAAAAATGGAATGGATCGAATTTCCATCTGCGAAGCCTTGACCAAACGGAATGAGATACTCTTATTTTTATAAACGGATGGTGACTGGAAATGAGAAATGGATCACATGCGATAACCCTATGCAAAAACGATCGTGGTCAAAGAGCGGTGAAGCACCTCAAACGGTGACCAAACCAGGACTAACGACCAGGAAGGTTCTGCTATGCATTTGGTGGGACTGGAATGGGATTATTTATTATGAGTTGCTTTCATATGGCCAAACTCTAAATTCTGATCTCTACTGCCAACAACTGTACCGTTTGAAGATAGCAATTGGCCAGAATTGGCCAACAGGGGAGGTGTCGTGTTTCACCAGTAGTCCTATTCTGTAACTTTTAACAACATTCGATATTGTTTAAATTTCTTTTGTTATTGTAAAAACAATAAAACAAACAAATGAAATTGTTGTAAAATAGACAATATCGAATGTTGTTAAAAAGTTACACAATACAGGTGCAGGACAACGCTAGGCCATCTTATGAGTAGTACAAATGTATGTGCAAATATAAAATTTATATCTTAAATCGTGGAGGGAGCAACCAAACTCACTCATAAACATCAAATTCAGGTTTGTAATGTTACCCTATGTGTGCTCTGATAAATACCAAGAAGTTACAAAAAATATACAAATCACCTTATGATGGTGGGTATAAAAACAACCTAAAATGCCGAAAATTATACATCAACAATATTGTTAGGCAAGACAACGTTTGCCGGGCCCGCTAGTAAAAGATAAATTACTTTTTTAATTTAAAATTTGGTTTTCAGTCTTATATATTTTTATACCCTACACAACTATGTTGTAAGGGTATTATAGCTTTGTGTGGCATCAAGTATTAGTAACGCCGTGAAATATTGTTGCTAGGCTTATTTTTGTTATACAGATCGTCATAATTCGACTATCTGAGTCGATCTGTAAAATGTGTGGCCGTTCTTTCGATTGTCCATTATAATTTGAAAACACAGTGCAGGTTTGCGAGGTAATAAACTCTAGGACCACACAAATCTATATTCCCTGACAACATAGTTGTGTAAGGTATAAAAATATAATGAATATTTTTTTTATTACTAAGATAAATTTTCAATGAATCTTTTATCTATGTTAATAAAATTTTTACAAAGAGTATTGTGCAATTGATTTGAATAATTAATTACAATAATCAATTGCATCGAAATGAAATGAATAGAACGCGCGGACCAGCAGCAACGCCCATTAAACTTTCAATCAAATCTCATAGCTATCAGAGCGGCAACAGTCTTAGAATTTTCCATTAGTTTATTATCTAGAATTTGGACGAAACTCAAGGAAAACTACTTTAGTAGACAACCAAAAAAAAAAAAAAAACATAAGTAATAATATGTAGCATCCATAATATACATATATGTGCATGATGTTTTAATATGTTGCACGTTAACGAAGCTCAATTTGTTCATGTCATCTTTGGCAATGTTTTTACTGGATAAATTATGATGAGGGACAATACATAAATTTGAGAGTCAAGTAGATATGAAAAGTATAGTTTAGGCCGTTAAATACATGAAATGCATATTAAACGGCTGATGTATGTATGTAGGTATACGGAAAACTTGAAGTCAATGTGACATGACTTGTAAGTTATTATATTTGTTATTATTGTGTTATCCCCCTCGGCAGGTATGCAACATATTGAGTCGAATTATTGTTCTTCCAGTTTACAATATTATTGTTATGAAAATAAGTAGAGTTTCTGTAGTGCCACTGGGCATATTCAACATTTAATGGCACATCCATTGAAAATGGTGTCAAAAGTATTGACTTCTTTATTTATTTTTTTTTTTTGCAATAGAATATTTTAGAATATAACAACTAATAACCTTCATTTAATTTTCATATTCATTATTTGTCGTCGCTGTTTAAGTTCAAGGTAACCCTGTCGCAATGTGTTAACGAGATAATAGATTGATGGTGATTTTTTATTTAAGAAACACTTTTAAAGGCTTGGCTAGCTGCAACTCTAGATAGTTTCGGTTTGTTTTGGCGAACAAACATTCCTTAGTTTTCAAATAGATAAAGTAGAAGTATAGATTGCATACAATTAAGTTATTTTCAAAAAAATAAAACAAAAAAGAATGTTCTGCCGAAACCCGGGATTGAACCGGGGACCTTTAGATCTTCAGTCTAACGCTCTCCCAACTGAGCTATTTCGGCACATGCCCAGTGTGTGCCTAACAATATATAAAAATCCACACACACACACATAATAGTGGTTGTTTTGATTTAAATCAATGTGTATGCAGGCATACATACATATTTTTCTATGACGTCATCACTTGACAAAACAAATGAAATGGATTTATGCTGTTATCGAAATGATTCTGTTAACAGCAACTGCAACTGTAAGCGAATTGAAATATTAAAATGTAGATAACATTTAACAGTCCATGTAGATAATATTTACATTAAACTGTTAATGTTCGCAGCGAATGCTAACCCTTATAATTATAAAAAAAAAATACTTAAAATCGAAATTACCACACCTCCTGCACCAAAAATGTTTTAAGCAACCCTCATTAGACTTTCGATACCCTCAGCCTTATGGCTAATGAGGGCGTATACACTTTGCTATGGCAAAAATGAGCCTTATCGAAATATTGTTTTTAGACATCATGCTTCTTTGTATCAAATCCGTTTTTTAATAAAAAATAATAATACCTATTCATAGTTAGCATCTGCAATTTGGGTTATATTCCAAAAACATGTTAAAATATTAAATCTGTTCCAATTTTTGTTGCTCCGCCATAATGCAACTCGCCGACATTTAAAGGTGTTGTCCATGTTAATGACGATGACGAGTGCATGGATGGGATGTGTAATCAAATTTTATCAATTTTTGGAGTTGTTTACGTGAGAAACGATATTGGCAACTTCGAGATGCTAACACAGCCAGTTATTAATATGTCAATCAAGACTAACTGACTGAAGACTTCTGTAGGCTAAGACATAACTGCAGATGATAAAAATCTACGTGTAGCAAGCAAAAAATGACTGTACGTGAGTATGTGTGTACATAAAGACGTGGACGTTACTACATTAATTTCCCATTGCAAAAAATGGGAGGAAGAAGCATTGTGGGATTTAATGGCTTGTTTCATTGTGAACTTTACTCTTTTGCAGAGATTGTCATTCCGTTGCACATTTGCAATGAATGCTTACAATTAAACTGATTCCCAGATTGCAACATACAGGACAGACTACAACATCGTGTAATACAAGGAGTCCCTTAAATGAAGATACTCTTCTACCACACACACACACACACACATCCGCCTTAGCTGCAACGAAACATGGCGGCTAGTAGTAGTTCATTGTGACATGTTTACGGCAAATTGTCAAATGGAGTGACATCATCACTGCCAAAAAAAGATCGATGTGATCTGATAGAGAAGTTAAATGCAATTTTGTTGCTTGGGTATAGCCTTTGGCTTTGTCATTACGACGGCATACTTATATTGGCGAACGTGCGATTATTAGATTGATCCTCACAAAATATTTTGATGGGAGTTGGGAATTTTAAGAGACGTGTTGATATTTTGGGTTAAGTGCTAGTATATTTTAGATAATCGAGCTAAGTTTGTTTTTGGTACAAACCAATTGGAAATTCATAGAGAAAATATTTTTTTAATAGTTTATCGGATGAAGAGCACATACAACAGATGCTCGGCCTAAAGTTGATATATATATGTAACGTATTAATAATGAAGTTTGGTATAATAAGCGAAATTGCTCTCTTTTTAATGTAATATTTTTTTTTTCAAATAGGTGATATGTCATAAGGTTACTGCCCAGTGCTGTATAACTTACAGAAAAGAAGACATACATTTGTTGAATAAAATGTTAAACTAAGAAAAATTGCAATATCATCTACCAACGATGTACTCGATGTTCACAGCAATAAAGTCGGCAAAATATTAACATTATTTTCGCTGTGACAGATACACTGCGGATACATAAGAGTAGTTTTAGTACGGTATATACACTTAGGTACATTTGATTAAGTATAAACATTATCATAGTTTTGACAAAGAATACACGAAAGTGCTAAGATAAAAATTTAAGTTGAAACAAACAATGAATTAAAAAAAAACATCACTACAAAAGGCGCCAACACATTTTTGATATAGTAGTGATATAGCCAACACATTTTTGGTATATCAAAATATTTTTTTTTTTCTATTTTCATTATATCCCTTGTCATCTTCAAATTATCCGCAGTGTAAAGCGTATTCTGCCCTTTTGTCTTGTGATCTCATGCAAATAAATGCAAACAACGAAGTGAACGTTACAATGGGTTAATTTAAACTCCTACTGCAGTCCACAAACAGAGTGTTCCTACGTACATGTCCATCAACATTTGGTTTTGTTGAAATGCCTAACGGACAACGAAATGACTGAATGACATTCGGGCTGACAGCAATTAATCTCCCAACTCATAAATTAAATATTTATGCAAAAATGTGATCTCAGTTTCCTTGGGGGGTATGATAAGATAGACCGTCGGATGGATGATAGCCAGATTAGTTTTGATTTATGACTTCATCATTCCACCATCGATAACTAACTCGACGAGTTTGATTCATTGCGACCGACTAATCTCTGCTGCGACTTTTTCTGATCTATGATGCTTGTCATTTTTTTATTTTATTTGTAGAGCCAAAATGCAATTGGAGCCCATCGTACCTTCGCAAAGACATCATTTTCATGTTCAGGTCGGCCGGCTGGTTATTATGCAGATATTGAGACTGGATGTCAGGTAAGTTCATTTGTTGCGAAATTCGATAAATTTGTTTATCATCTATTGAAATGCCTAATAAATAACATATGGGAAATTACAAAATTCTTTTAAAATTCCATAAAAAAATTAAAAAAAATTTTTGCGAGCACATTCATGATTTTTGGTACATATGTTAAGAAAAATATGCTGATTCGAAATATGTTCGCGTTCAAAAATTCGGATGCTGTGCACAAAAGTTATAGCGATTTTAAAACTTGTATTTCAAATATAAATTAAATTAATTTCTATTTGTTTTAATTCACGAATTTCTCCACAAATAGTTAAACACATTGGTTTTCTTTGCATACTTGTCAAATCACATTGAATTACGGTTTAATTGTCGCGAAAAACAAATAGAAGCATGAAGATATCGGAAAATAAAATAAATTATTTTTTTAATTAAATCGAAATGCTTTTTGAATTTTCGATTTTTTAGTATGGTTAAGGGAATACGGTTTTGCCTCAATCTTCTAAAATATGCGACGCTTTTTTCTTCAAATTCTTTTAGATGATTGTTAAATATCGGTAGATTCCTCTGGTTAGAGTTTTGACATTAAAAAGGATGCAATTCGCGTATTAGTTGAAATCAGTTGATGCGCATGCGGTTTTCGTATAAACCGATCAATGTCTTTCAATAATTATGAATTATTCGATGTTTAATTCACTTCCACGCAACTTATTATTTATTACCAATATTTTAAGATTTTGACAAGAACACTTCATTTAAAAACAATGCATTTAAATTATATGCAATATTTGCATATTTCGCGAGTTATAACCTTGCAAACCTCACTTTCAAGGAATTTAAAAGATTTTTGTAATTTCCCATATGCATGTATGTAGACACGTAATTTTGAATTATGGGATTGAATTTTCTGTACTTCTATAGGTTTACCACATGTGTGATGGCTTAGGAAGACAATTCAGCTATTCATGTCCAAATACAACGTTATTCCAACAGCGAATGTTAATTTGCGATCACTGGTACATGGTGAACTGTTCTAAGGCGGAAAGCGATTATACTGCCAATTTGTTAATAGGTGAGATTATTCGACGAAGTTATTCCGGAAAAACTCAAAACACTTCATTACTTTGCAGGTCAACGGGACAAACCGTTTGTCAACGAAGAAGAGAATAATTTACGAACACCACGACCCGATTTGCTGGATCGACCATATGCTCCGGACTACTCTGGAGAATCGTTTAGGAATCAGTATCAAAAGGTATTTGCATTCAATTCCAAATGAAACAAAACATTTACACATGCTCTGAATTGCAGTCTCTCTCTTCGATATTGAATCAAATTTATGATAAAGATGCACAGAAGAAGGAGAAACCCTTACAATCATCCGCAAATCAACCTAATCAACCCGCAGGCCAACAACGATGGAAAATACCACCACCAAGTCGTTTGATTTTGCCACCAGCTTACGAGCCACAAATACCGGACATTGTTGTAACCAGCACCACTAGAGCACCAACCAGTCGAAACATCTATTACAACCCCTCCACCACGACAACAACAGCGAAACCGTCGACTTATCGAACTGTCACAGCTAATACTCGTTCCCAGGGTCTGAAATTTAATGGTGTTGCCGCACTTCACCACCGCAGTGATGAACACCTGCAATATGATCACGATGATCTGGGCACCAGCCACAGTACCCGATACAATACTTCGGCCGATTTTAATTCCAATGAAGACCGAAATATCAAAAATCGTCAGAAGAATACACAGCGGAAAACCACCACCACGACAACAACAAGAGCACCGCCAACAACAACTACGACCACAACACGGACAACTACCAGGACCACAGTTAATTCAAACATAAAAGTTCCCTCAAAAATTTATGAGCCACCATTACTGTACCCAATTTATAATTTGGAAGAATCGAGTCCAACAAAAACAACAAGCACCACAGTCCGACCCTTCTTTAAAGCATCCACAGCATCGCCATTTATGACACGACAGACAACCACCACGCCGGCCCCCTTCACAACAAGAGCATTGTCGCGGGCAACGACCATGGTGGGGAAACCGTTTACCAGAGCACCGACTTCTACATCGACAACGGTAACTAGCAGGGGCTTGAATCGTTATGATGCCGATAAGCTAAGTAAGGAGATAAGAACACCCGCTCCGGCCCAAGGTTTTAAGGCTCCCACACCCAGACCCACATTCAGGTCAAATAACACCACCAAAGCCTCCACCGAGAATGTACCCTCCAAACATCTACTACCCCCCTTAACTGATTTCATACAACATGATGTGGCCACTACACAGGGACCACCAATTTACTACGAGTGGAAAGTTCCCTCAGATGGTCTGGAACCACCAAAGAAAGAGGCACCAATCGGTGTAGATGGACGTGAATATCCCGACACAGTGATCGATTACAATTCCATTAGTGCCAGTGGCAACTTTGTACCTATTAACAACTTCGGCATCGATCAGACAAAATCGAACGACAGTAAACAAACCTCACGAACCCCTTCGTCCAGATCTATTAAGGAAAGTGCTCAACCGAATAACATTGCGACGACGAGGCAGAAAGTAACTACCACCACAGCTCGTCCTGCAACGCCATCGACAAGTGCTCCAGTTATGCCTGAAGATATTTTTCAAATACGTAAGGAACTCTCAGTACCCGAGTATGCATTTCCATTGGAAAATATAGGTCGCACCGGTTACCTTGCCACAGATGTCTATAACTCATTTCAATTGAAAATACCCGAAAGGCGATCCGACACTGATGAACATCTCCATTGGTTTGGTGAAAATCCCAAATGTCCAGAATGCCATCCGTCCTATGTAATACCCGGTACATGTGAGCCCTGCCTAAGGAGATAGGAGTCAATAACAAAAAGATCCTTTGTGTAAATTGAAAGTATTCCAAGTAAACAAATTCAAATTCCATTTTGAGAGAATGTCATCGAAGTGGATATTGGCAATCCACCACCCTCTACCACAAAAACCCCACACATATGCGCACTTCCATTATTGTTAATTATTTTAAGTAATACATCTATATATACATACCTACCTACATACATATGTTCGTAATTCCATTCCATATTAGTCTAATTCATAAATTCAGTTTCCTAGAAATGGAGTGGTTCTGGTCTAGTGCCACCTTAACATTTTCAATGACAGTCTCTATGTCCTTGATCATTTGGACCGAGGAACCCGACAGACATCTCTCCCTTGTATATACAGAAACAAGAGAAACGAATTGAGTGAACCCTCTGTTGTACAAACATGTTGTACCTTTATGCATACATATGTACTTATATTACACCCTTGGTTTTTACTTATGTAAGAGCATTTTCTGTAGTCTTAAGTGTCTATGTATACCTATCTAATTATGCTTATCTAAAATTATATACGAAAACTATTTGTACTTTTTATATATATTATAAGATTTTTTGTTAATAAAATTGAAGAAAAAGAAAAAAAAAACAAGTAAAAAAGTGATAGCTTGTGGTTTGCAGAAGTCTGCGGAATTATACACAGGTTTTATTATTAGTTGTATAAGGGGTATATGTTTTTATCAAAGAGATGACCATTTCATTCGCTCCATATTGAAAACGGTTACTCTCTTCGAGAGTTATCGTGGACACCAGTCAGACAGCCAGTCAGACACCAGTAAATCGACTGCAAATTGTCTGAAAAGAAATTAAAATTATTTCAAACCTAATCAAATTCGAAGACGATACCCATCGGTCCACTCCTTCTGGTACCTCCCACACAATGTAATATTCCCCTGAAATTCCAATTTCATATTAATATTCAACTTATTTCGAAATATTATTTATTTCACAAGAAATTCAACGATTGTGCCTTTCATATGACACCTCTTTTATTCGAATACCAGCAATACGAAAAAAGTCATAGCAAAAAGAAATGAGGTATGCAATTTTAATAAGATAAATTGTCAGAAAGAATGAAATTGTACCTTTCATATGACACCAATTTTATTTAACTATCTGCAGTAGGTCCAAAGTTATAAGAAAAAGAAATAAGGTTTAAATTTTGCATAATCGATTTTTGAATCTACCCATTCTATAGATGAGCGCTGACCACAAGTGAATGCCAGTGCATCAAAATTTACAGAAAATCTAAAACCAATATTTTCGCCGTAGCAAAGTAGTGTATATACGCTCAAAGGGTTGATGGTATTAAAACATGGCCGATCAAAAAGAAGATACACCATTCTAGACTTAATTCAATACGCTATGTAAAATTTATTGTATATCGAACAAAGATAGTGACCACTCTGTTTACTTTACAAAAAAAAAAAAAAATAGTCGATATATATAATATCTTTGAACTTTCACATATTGCTAATTTTCCCTTAAATAAAATAAATTTATATATATTGTCAATATCGAATAAAACTTTACAATTCCCTCAAACCATTTGTGCAAAATTTATGAAAATCGGTTAAGTAGACGCTGAGTTATTTGCATTTCAATCCGACGATGTTCCGAAATATACTTACTGTTCGGTGCTGGGCGCCTATTACCTGAAAATGAAAAATCACACAAAAATGGATTTTTAAAAATGGAAATTTTTCTTCTTTCTTGATTGATGTGGCTGCTGGTTTGCAAAGAAAATTATAGCATACTTTTAGGTCAAACGCAGTCTGTATGCAGTGAGACTTTTAAATTGATAGGTGGTTGTTTTTATGCACAAATTTAATGTAACACGACTTTACATACATACATACTATTATGGCGAACACAATTTTATTTCCATTTTAATAAGACTGAGTTTTGTGTCATTTTCATTTTAAGGGGACAGGCGTCCAGAACAGAACAGCTAGTATATTTCGGAACACCGTTGAATTCAAATGCAAATAACTAAGCGAAAACTAAACCGATTTTTATAATTTTTGCAAAAATGGTTCGGGTGAATTTAAAATGTTTATTCCATATTGGTAATACATATATGTATATAAACTTATGTTATTTAAAATAAAATTAGCATTATGTGAAAGTTCAAAGATACATTAAGTATCGACTATTTTTGTTGTTGTATGTAATCAATACGCAAGTAATAGATCACTGGAAAAGTCGAAGGCTTGACACATAACTGATATTTTTTATAAAATATGGAATATTGTGGGAGGTACCAGAAGGAGTAGACCGATGGGTTGAATCTTCGAACTGGATTTAAGTTTAAAAGAAATGTAACAATTTGTTGATACTTTTCACAGCGATCATGTATAACTAGTTCGTTAGAATATTTTTTGGTACCTTGTTGATTTCAACGCTACATTACCTTCACTAAAAAAAATGACATCCATCATCCAATGTGATTATTTTCAATCTTTGAGATGTATCTCCACAATTTTTAAGATGTTTCCCTACAATCTTTGAGATTTTTCCCCACAATCGAATATAAAGAACAACAGTTTTTCATTAAAATCTTGGAAGTTTTATTAAATGTTTCCATAAATGTAGTAAATATTTTTTTTGTATTTTTCAACTAACAAACAAATGAAAATTTTTAAATAGGTGTATTGTGTGTATGTAAAATATGTGTTTTTTCGTTTTCTTTTTAATTACAAAAATGCTTATTTTTACAAAAAATATAAATGTTTAGTTCATGTGATATTTGAAATTAAATTCTTTCATAGATGCAACAGAAGAACTCCTGGGTTTCTTACTGTTCTGTTATTGTTGGTAGGCACTTTCGCAGAAGTAGAAGGAAAACAAAATTAGAGATTTCAATTAAATATTTACACTAAAATGCACACTAATTTAAAAATATATATATATATATATATAAAAATCAGATATAAAGAGACAGCTGATACAACTTGTTGTTTTGATTTGTTTTTTACATTTAATTTCAAACTTAATAACCAAATAGTTGGTGTATATACTCCAATTTGAGTTTAGTTTGCATTATTAATTAACAACAATTTAAGGCACTTTCCGAAATGGTAGTCTATATAAGTTACATATAAATAAATTTTTTGTTTTTTTTTTTTTTTTTGATTTATGCTTCTCTTTGCACATTTCACACTACCTCAGCCGTACTCGTATGTAAGAAACCTAACATTTTGAAGGCTGTTTATAACTAATCTTCGGTGTGAGGAGCCAATGTTTTGATGACTCCCAGTATTCGAGATTCCAATTCGTGTGGTTCCAAAGTACAAAATGATTTGTCCGTTGAAATAGCACTGCCATTCGTTTGTGATATTCGTTTTTTCTGTTTTGTTCTTTTAACATGGACATTGACTAGCATTGCTTAAAATTAGAAATATTCGTGGTATTGAATATTCAAGAATTATAAAATTTTATTTGAAATACACCTTCAGCTCCTTGTGTCGCCAAGCAGTTGATTGCCTAAATATCGCAATTCTTTGTGGGAAGCTCTGATGTGGTTGTATGTTGAACAGGATCATATAGATAAATACTGGGTATCCATGATCTGTTGGATGGATTTATTGTTGTTGTATTCACAGTTTCATATGTTTTCCAAGCAAGCGACTTGCATGTATTTGCTTGTACCGATGAGCTACAAAGAATTTCCAAAGTCGAGTCCTGCATTTCCATTGACTGTGCCACAAGTGCAACTTTATGGGGTACGGTAGTGTCAACATCGGTAATAACTGCGGCATCGTGCCGGCTATTATAAAAACGATTCGTTAAATTGCCGTCCACATAGATCTGAAATAGCCAAAATGATGTAATCGTGTAATTATTTCAAATTCAAATTCGTGTGACATACCTCATAGCCCGCAATACCACAGCAGTCGTGAATAGTCCACTTAACATAAAGGGATGTGACACCAAGCACTTGGACTTCCGTAATTGTGACGGGAAAACTTTGACGTGCACAAATTGCCGTAATGGGCATGCCTACATTCTGCAATGGACAAATGAAAATATTTGAAATAAAAATCTGTATTTTGACGACACAAGTATTGTGATATATACCTTAACTTTATTACATTTACACCGTGCATGATCCATGGCTTCCAAGTCCATTATTATCGAATCAATGAAATATTTCTGAAAATAATATACAGAGTATTATCATTGGAATATTCGTAATATTTTCTATAAAGTTTTATTAAATAACTTACAAATTTCTCGGCTTCTAGGGACAGCTGCTGTTCATTACAGCTACAAACATCTTTGTGATTTCTATTCTTAAGGCGTTCAGCTCGTTTCTCCTTTTCCAATTCCTCGTACTCTTCATCCCAATCATTAACATCTCCATTTGCAAGGGTAGTAGTCAGTTTATATTTACGTTCATTGGCTTCAGTAGGAGCGGTATTTGTTTCCAAATTGTATTTTTGGTCTGGGCTAAATAGAAATTCTTCCTCCAACGACTTTATATGCATTTCATTATTGTCATGTTGCTGATAATAAATTACAGAGTCACGCTTTAAACCATTCAATACGTTCTGATGTTCTGGGTGAATTTGACCATTTTCAGGGAAATTCTTCTTATCAATGTCAGTTTGTATATCAATGTCATTTGGAGCATACTTTTGATCTAAAGCCGCCTTAATAGTTTTATAACCATCTGTTGCTTCTGTATCGAAGACTTCATCTTTTTCCGCACATAACTGGCCACTTTTACATTCATCTAAAGGTAATGTTGAATGGGCCATATCTCTACTCGCATTATCTTCAGTGAACAAATCTTTTTTAATCTGAATTTCTGGAGACATGTCGCTACGTTGCACAATAGCACCGTGCTCTTCGAAGACACATTCCCCAATGTGTATTTGTTCTTCATTTTGTATAAATTGATTTTGCGTTGGCTTGCCAGAACTACAGCTTACGGGAGCAATGGAAATGGGCATAACCAAACCATGGTGTGCTGCCAAAAGTGTCATGAAATAATTACAAAATTGACAGGGATGTTGGGCGTTGTTTGAACAACTTGTCGATTTTGCCAGTACCTGTGGGCTCTTACATTCATTATCTTCCTCTTCAGTAGTAGAGTCCTTAAGAGAACTGAACAAATGTCGATTTGGAACACAGAAATCCTCATCTGATTTCGGTGACTGAGAATCCTCTGATTTTTGATTGTGTTTATCCAAAAGAAAGCGAAGTTGGGAGCATGGATCAAATTTTTCGTTTGGTTTTGGTAGTTTAAGGGATTCCTTTAGTGATTCCCCGGTTTTAGGAGCTTCCATTAACAAATGAAGCATTTTATGTAATAAGTCTAAAATGGTTTCTTTTGAGGTTATGTTCTCCGATTGACTTGTTTGTGAACAACAAGAATAATATTCACAATTGGGAGTTGTAGCTTCAGTTATTTGAGGGGCAGGCTGTAAACGCTGTGGCCTGGGTATTGTCACACATCCGGATTGAGCAAAAAATTTCGTGTTTGCCACACGATTTGAATTTAAAATTAATCTTAGAGGGATGTGTTCGGAGATACTAGAGGAAGAGCTGCCAGACGTTTCACATGTACTCTCTGTTCCAGCTGAGTAACGATATTCTTGCTGCTGAGACATTGAACTATTTTCATCTTCCACGACAATGGGGGACGTGTATGAACACTGATACACAAATGGTAGACCAGGTGGAGACTGATATGGGTATGTAGATAATTGATCCATATTTTGATGGTTCGGCTGAGTTTGGAAAACATTTAAAGGACTTGAAGGTTGCTGCTGAGGTGTATTTATATTCTCGTTATTTCGGTCAAAATTAGTTTCGGAGGACGCTGCGTCTTCTGTTGATAAGGAAATAAAAAAAAAATAATAATCATATAATAACACTGTGCGACACGAAAATTTTTCAGGGGTTCTAATGTACCAATTCTGTTTAGTTGGAGTCCCTGGACCACGAAAATACCTTTGATTTTTTTGGGTCACTTCGAAAATTAATTTTATAACGGTAAATATAGAGAAAAACGTGGTTTCATGGATTTTCCATTTGAAACTTAAATAACTTATTTACTTTATAACGGATTTATATTATTCTTTTTTTTCTTTCAAACAAGATATATATTTGGTAAATCGGATGAGGATTGGCTGAGTTACAGCGGTTGAAATGTGAAAAAATACGCATAAAATGACAAAATTTATTTTTCTTCGGACTGTACGATGAAATTATGATATCAAGCCATATAAGTTTTATTATATTACGGGGAAGAAAATTAAATTAGCTTTCGAAAATGTTAAAAATATATTTGTATTGATATTTTTGTATTGATTCTATGCATATTCTCTAAAGGAACTATGGGTCAATCTCGTTTCCTTTATAAAGTAAATAAGATATTTAAGTTTCAAATGGAAAATCCATGAAACCACGTTTTCCTCTATATTTACCGTTATAAAATTAATTTTCGAAGTGACCCAGAAAAACCAAAGGTATTTTCGTGATCCAGGGACTCCAACTAAACAGATTTGATACAATAGAACCCCTGAAAAAATTATTTTGTTATTTTGTAACACAGTGTAATTAATGTTATATAAAAAATGTGCTTTAGTTATTTCGAGGATTCGAAAAATAAAACATCAAAACATATATTTAAAATATTTATTAAAGCAAACTAAGATTCATTGAACATTTTACTGGCCAAGAAGCGCGTTGAACCGGGTCGATCTGCTTCCCACTCCTTAACATCGATTAATCGAACTTCTTCGCCCCGCCTTGAATTACGTAAACGACGTTCATTCCTATGCCACATTTCAAAACCATATAACTCCAAATGCTTGGCTTCGACCTTTTCACGACATGGACAAATATCGAAATACGAAATTTGACTACAAATCGATTGAATGTCGCCAAAATTATCAAATATTGTTCCTCTATTGCGACACTTGCACACTTTCAACTTGGAGTGTTTCAAAACATCCTCCAAGCTTGATGTGGCCCTTGGTTTCCAAGCGCATAGGCAACAGCCGCAATTGCCGGGACAGAACACCTGGTCCTTCTCATCCAACAGAGGACTGGGATCAAAGCGACATTTAACGCAAACATCGACATCTTTGTGTTGGGGTAAGGCTTTACGATAGATATTTGGCGAATGAGCTCTAATAGCATCTTCAGATTTCACAGGCAAATCTTCGTAAAAACCAGAGCCAGGCTTCTTCTCGCCTTGGCAAAGTAAAAGCTGAGATTGTTTCTCAATTTTTACCGAGATCAAAGCATCATCAATTGAAGTAGTGAAACTAACGTCTGCCTTTTGTTCTCCCAACGTCATCGCACCTTCTGAAGGCCTTTCATTATGTTGGCGCCCTAATGTTTTAAACGATTCAAAGCTTTGACAATGGCAAACGGGTTTAGGGTTAAAAAGTGCTCCATCAGAAAGGGATATTTTACAAAATGCCTCATTCCATCGCAGTTTACAGCTGCTTAAACCATTTTCTTCATATTTACTTTGGCAACAATAATTGTTGTCAATGGGGATCTTTTCGTCAGAAATCCGAAGTGGCGAAACCACATCTGTTTCTGTTAAAGTTTCACAGGAATAAAAGATATCTGCTTCTAAGAATGACCGCTCGGATTGTCGCTTTTGTCTTTGAATGGAGCTTTTCTTTACATTTCCTACATGAATATCCAAAGGTATTTCGATGTGAAGTGGTTTCAATTTGAATCTTTGGTGGGAAGATTTACGTTTAGAATTTCGCTTTAAATCTTGTCTTAGGCAGTTGAGGAGATCGTGACTGAGATTGGAAATTTGCATCAAACAACCACGAAAAAGTTGTGCATCTTCCATGCACTCGTATACCTTGGACATGTCTACATCTATTTTTTTTGGCAAATTTAATTCACAACCATTAGATCCGTCATGTAAAAAAATACTTACGATATTTCAGATCATTAACTGAATTTTGGGATTCTTTGTCACAAAAAACATCTTTTTCACAAGGGTTTTGGTGGAGGTTTTGGATTTTCCCACGAGAACATGTTTCGCGATTACAAAAAGGTTTAGTATTCATTATAAAGCGAATAGTTCAGAAATTTGACAAGGGATTTGAATGACGAACACAAAAATTTACAGAGTTTATTCAACAAAAACTGTTTTGAAAATAAATGATTTTCAAAATGTTTTCAGAGTTATTACCAAGGTAGATATAATAATATATCTTGGTTATTACGAATATTTTCAATGCTAGGGTGACTAATTTATGGAATTTCTACTTAGTGCCTATATAATTAGGACATTGGTCAACCGGTCACCTCAGCAACAACAATAATATTTTCTCTCATCAATATATCTGAAAGAGTGCTTCAATCCTTATTAGGACTTCTGCACAAACATACAGACATATAAAGTGTATCAGTTAGAAGGACAACGATAAGTACACACATACATACGTATTTATTATTGTTGAATTACACACGAATTTAACAAATTCTATTTCATATTAACCACACTTAAATATATAATCGATATATTCGTTGTCTTATGTCCGAAGTCAACATCTATGATATATTACATAATTGCTTCTTTCAGCACAAATTGAGAGATTTCTACGGCATTTGGTCTCCTAACCGGATAATATACAGTACAATAGAATTGCGATTCCATGTTCTTAGTATGGAAAGACATTAGTTGTTCATTTATCAGTTCTTCCGTTTGACTGAAGGCCTAGAGAAGTGTGGGAGATAGAATCTATTTTAGAAATGAATAAATAAATACGACTTCGAATTACCAACCGAATTTAGATGGGGTTTAAAAACATCTTGCAAAATATTCAGACATGACATGATCTTAACAAAATCTTCATAACTTCCGGGGGCATTACGTTTCGCGGCACATTCATCAGTATTCTGTGAATTTGAAAATGCCACCAGCAATTCTAAATCTTCTCGAAACTGGAGATCTTGCAACCAATGTTTATAAAGGCTTTGATAGCATTCACAAATTGTTCTCTTGGCATTCGGAATAGACGTTGTAATTTTATCCACGAACTTTCCCAAATGAATTGGTAGTTGTTCGGTGACAGAATGAATGGGAAAATCATCTGAGACTTGGACACCGCAATCACTTGATTTCACCACTATTTCAACTGACTTGTCAACCATGTCCGGTTTAATTTCACACCCAATGGCCATATCGACACTTGAGCAAGTGATATCCCTCGTATCTTCCTGTATAGAGTGGAAGCTGCTGTTGGAAGTATTTCGTTGCAACAGTGCGGAAGCAACAATATCCAATTGGGAGGTATTGCGAAATTTGCGAACTTGCATTTTGGAAACGATACTTTTTATACGATTTGAGAAGTTTCTATATCTTCGGCGTTTCCTAATGAGTTTGGAAATGAATCTATTCTTCATTGGCGTTGAATTAAAAAGCGCGGCAGTGTCTGTTTGTATTTCTTGTTTTCTAGAAAGTTTGCGTAATTCTGAAGGAACTTCACAAATCAATTTCTTCTGTTCATTGGAGCAAGAGGGCAAGGTGTTTTCCTTTATGGCAAACTGTGGTACTAAAGCAATGCCCACAGTGACTGAAATATCTTCAGGCTCTAGTCTATGGCCAGTCTTCGCTTCTTCTTCTTCACTTCGATCCTGGCCAGAGAGTACCTCTTCAAGGGATTTTGTTAACTTCATTGGCGATGAAGTTGCTAAGGGTTTGCGTTCAAGCGACTCATTGACTGTTGGGGTAAGCACCCCAGTTTCTGACAAACTTTGATTTTGGGATAGATCCTCACTCGAAACACCACCCTTACGTGCATAGTTTATTTCTTCTGTTGTATTGGCATCACTTACCTCATCGTCATCTTTTAAATCGCCATGTAGAAGAGTATCGGCTAGTTTCTTGACATCTCGGGCTACGGTTTGAAATTGTTTTTGGGTGGGAAGCATCTTCTCACATTCCTACGTGTCCACCGGAAAATAATTAGAAATCGTGCGTTAATTCAATGAGTTTCAGTATTTGACAGAATGGGGAAGGACTCACTACTTACAGTCATGTGTCTCAAGGCATTACCCAAACCTTTGCTAGCTGTTTGCAAATCCTTGACATCTTCGCGTTTGAAGCGCTTCGAAGGTGTATCTCCCAGTTCGTCAGCTAAACTATAGCCTTCTGAACGTTCCAATCGCTTCTCCAATTTTTGGCATATTTCATCCTTGGTGCGTATCTCGTCGGTAAGACAGCGTACCTTTTCTTCACAATCCCGATGGGCATTCTGCAGCGTCTCCACCTGCAGCTCCAATGTGGCCACCTCTTCCCTTAGCTCACCATTTGTCACCTCAATGTGCAGATATTCCTTCTTCAAATCAAATATCTGATTGCGCATTATATCCAGTTCGCTCTTGGTTTGATTTTCGGTTTCATGCTGCAGCTTGCGCATAAAGGTCAGCTCGTCCATTAGGCCCTTGTTACGTTTCTTCTCAACATCCAGGGCTTCGGTTAGGGGCTTTTGTTGTTCCTTCAGTTGGTCGTGCTGTTCTTTGAGACGCTCAAATTCATTTACCAAGCATTTGTGCTCCTCGACAAGTTTTTGGTGTTCCTTTGAGACCTTCACAAGGCAGGTCTTTAGACCCTGTTCGGTCTCCTCTAGTTGACAAATCTTCTCATTAGCTGAACGAGCATCTTCACGCAAACAGTCTTGCAATTTTTGTATTTTCTGTTTCAGAGAAAGCTCCTTCGATCGGAATTGCTCTTCGCGTTCTTTGTATTCCCTTTCCAGATCAACCCAGTGGGAATCGGCAGATTCCATGGCCGCATAGTGCCGACTATTCAATTCTTTGATTTGATGTCGTAGACATTTGATTTCCTCCTTAAGGTAGTTAATTTCCCGCTCGTGGCAAAGACAGTTGTCGGGACTGCGTACTTCTTCCCTTTGCACCATCTCAGCACATGGAGAACGACTACCGTTTGAAGCGGCGGTCATTTGATTGCCCATTTCTTTTGTTGCGGTTGTTCCCTGTTCTATGGGTGGTGGTATTTGTTGCTGAGCCTGAGATATCGTACAGGCGGTGTTGTACACCAACAACACTGGCAAAATATTGTGTAAAAATTCGAAATTTTCTTTGGCCTTTTGTTTGTCTTCCTCCAGATGGCGGATATGGGTTTCGTTTGTTGCTATGTCGTCACGTAAAATCAGACACTCCGAATGACAATCTTTGTACTTGGCACTAAGCGCCTCTCTGGACATTTCCAGCTCAACGTTGCGTTGACTGAGAATTTCCAATTCGATTTCTAACCTCTGGAGTCGGAGTCTGGTGTCATTCTCAGCCTCCTCAAATTCACACTTTTCCTCCTCGAGGGTGCAGTTTTCACTTTCCAAGAATTCGACGCGATCTCGCAACTCTTTAACTTCTTTCTCGAGGAGAATTTCGCGCTGCAGACGCTCGGCCAATCGTTTGGCTTGCACGTCTCCCGAACTCTCGTATATTTGTATTTTGCCCTCGAGAGCTTCCAAACGTTCTTTGTAGTATTGCAGGCGCTTTTGTTCACTTAGGTTGGGCGAAGGTGGGTACTGTAACGGATGCAGATGGTGGCTAGTGTGGGCAGGTACGTTTTTGGTTGGTGTGCTCAGATAGTTGTCGAAATCGGTTTGGGTACAGACCGTATTCTCGCCCGATTCGCTTAGGAAATCGGATTCTACGAACACACCACTTTCACTTAGACTATTGTTATACTGGTGCTGGACTCGTGCTTTGCGAGGCGAATCTGTGGGGCTGTTGTGCGGTACAATCTGTTGGCTGTTGTACGGCTGGACAGTGGCAACAATGCGAGGCGTAGCAGGACTTGTTGATGACGATGATGCTGATTTTGTAGCTGATGAAGTGCAGCACTTGTCGCTATTCGAACGAATGCTAGACAATGGCGATGATGTTGTACTGCTGAATTCGGAAATGCGCGTTTTTACCTGAAATTTGTTTGTTTGAAATGATTAAAACAATTTTACAAAAATAAAATAGAAATTTTTGAAAAAAAAACTATTCAACTAATATGAAATGACTTTGAATAATAAATCAAAGTGATGGGCAGATAGATGGCAAATGCCAGGTGAATTCGACTTACCAAGCCATCCATGCTACTGGCCTCTTCACTCGACGAATTTGCCAGCAGTGAGCTGGGACCACTACGCGGTGTTAGGGCATCCAATTGTTGCACCAAATTCAGAACCTGTTGCAAGCAATGCTTCTCCTCATCATCGAGCGTCGTCTTCTTCAGCAGGTCGCCCAGACGGCGACACAACTCGTCGTTGTTGATATCGATTAGATCATCGTGATGGCTCTGACTTTGTGGTGATATAATGCCTGAATCCAGCTGGGCACTGTTGGACGTTGTACTTGTGTGGCTGTTACTGCCGAATAACATTTCGAAGGGATCTGTTTTCGTTTGGCCAGCACCCGACGGACATGACCAAACATTCTGATTGCCCTGTGGCACATTTGCACCGGGATTGACAGCGCTTTGTAGCGACCACTGTAAAATGGAAAAGGAGGAAATATTTTAGTTTAAATTAAAGTGGAATAGAATAGTGCATCTATTTAAGATCTAACGGGGCCGTACGAATACCTGTGTATTGCAGTCAATGTGGCCATCGTAAAAATGAAGTCTGGGTGTTAGGTTTCCATAAATCTCTGTCATTATGTCATATTTATTCAGAGAATGATAAAAACAGAATGCATTGCATCCAATTCTTGTTGAGCCTGTGAACAGACTCGCAAAGATGTGTGAATTGCATTGGCTATGAATAATAAATAACCGCTAACAGACGAACTAACCGCAAACAGCAGAAAAGTAAAACTTTCCAATTAAATTATGCCCAATTAAAGCAGTAAACTTTGTTATGAACGAATTAATGTAAGATATTCCGCCGATGTTTTGCTGCTGCCGCGTGCACTACATGTTTACGCTTGGCTAGACTTAACTGTTTACCCTGTATCGCCAATGCAACTATTCAATGTTTCCCTCAAATGATGCAGTAGTCTGCCTTACAAATGCCCTACACTGATAACAGGAGGGTTGCAGCTTATTATATACATTAATTTTAAAATGGATAACAAATATCTTCAGGAGGATATACAAGGACCCATATGCAGGTTCCATCCAATTAGGATTGAACTAATATGTACTACAGTGCGTATCATAACTATAGACGCACCCTTAATTCAATTGGTATGTTAGTTTGAAAAGAGGGGTGGTTTAAAAACCACTACATGTCCATTATGGGACATACACTTAAGCCATAGTAGGCCTGTTGTGCGCTCTAGGAAGGAAAGTTATTTAGATTGGAATTATTCTTAAGTGTTTTGTTTGGTCTCCCTATTCTTCCCCACACGCTCTGCACTTGCTGCTTCCCGAACACCCAATCTTGTGTAAATGTGACTGCAGGTTAAGGTGTCCTGAGAGAATGCTGTGAATTTGCTTAGTCTTATCCTCATTTGGGTCTCCCCATAAGATTTTTGTGTTTTTTCCAGTCCTCTCGTTATTCCAGAGTGTTTTGTGCGCCTCTTTCGCCCATGACCTCATTTCTAGACGTGGCTATCTGAGTGACCCGGTACCCATATTATACGTACAAGACCGTGTCGTGAGAAGTTGTTTATTGTTTTTATGCATTCCAGTACAGTTTTTGATGCAACTGTCTGGGATGTTATTGCATTAATAGCTTGTTTACTATCATTCATGATGTTTATGTTAGTATGCCCAGAGTTAGAGCTTAACCATCTTAGACATTCCGTTATAGCTTGAACCTCCGCCTGTAGGATCGTGTTGTGATCTGGCAGGCGAAGTGAGATTTCAGTCCCCGGTTCTTCAATAAAGAGTCCCAGTCCCGTCTTTCCCGCTAGCCGGGAGCCATCCGCGTAACAACAGTTCCCCGGAGGCATATGAGCTAGTGTTCCGCTGCTCCATGAGTCTCTGTCCGGTATCGGGATTTCAGGTATTCGATCTGACTCCAAGTGGTTAATTGAGTATCCGATCGTAGCCTGTAGTATGTTTTCGTGCGGTGTGTAGTGTCCGTTGTCGATCCACTCGTTCATGGCTTTAAGTCTTAAAGCTGCGATGGCCGCTTCGTATTTTATTTGGATGTCAACTGGGTGTATATACAGTATAGTTTCCAGTTTCAGTTGGTATGTTAGTTGAGAAATAAAATGGACCCATTAAGTTATTGTTCACAATAAAACGATCAAAAACACATATTATTCAACAAAAATAATTAATTTATTCTTTATGGTTTCGCCGAATTCTGCACTTTCAACATTACTGGTGTTGCATAACTATAGACGGACTTTTACAAAATTAGAGAAATTAATTTTTTAAAACTTAAATAAAATAAAATAATTTTTATAAATAATGGGTAGGGCCTCCCTTATTTTGAATAAGTTCAAAAATTTTATCCATCACACTGTTGATCAAAATTATTCGCAAGTCTTCATCGATTGACCGCCATTCATCGAAAATCACTTCTTGGAGGTAAAATACAGTTTGGTATTGGAGGTTTTCTGCATAGACACGATGAGTCAAGATTCCACACATGTTCTCGATCGGATTCTGGTCGGAAATTTTAATATTTTTTAATTTTAACCGTACATGAGTCCTGCTAAAAAACGAGTCCTTGATTGTTGCTGCTTTCCCAAAATGGCAATAATTTGTCTTCAAAGACTTGAACGTACTCCATTGAATTCATCCGACAACATGGAAATGTCAAATAAAGCATTCCGTGGCTATATAATGCTATAAATTAATTATTTTTGTTGAATAATGTGTGTTTTTGATCGTTTTATTGTGAACAATAACATAATGGGTCCATTTTATTTCTCAACTAACATACCAATTGAATTAAGGGTGCGTCTATAGTTATGATACGCAGTGTATTATAACATAGACTTATGTGGGGGAGAATGGTAAGGTTTATGATCAAAAAGTTGCATTTGTTTAATTTTTGATAATTTGTATAATATTTGGGACATATCCCAGAGGATATAAAAATTACTATTCCAACTTGTTTGCTTTTAGGGTCATTCCATTCCATAATGTCGACCACAATATCTGTAGGTATCATTCATTGTGGATGAGCGTGAAGTCATTACCTGAGTCCAACACATTAAGCGTTTTCAAATACAAAAAAAAAAACGATCACATCAAAGATATTTCAACGAACAATTACTTATTCTTTGTTTTTGCGAAATATTTATTATTTCAACTTCAATGATTTTTAAGGTCTCTTTTGTTTTTAAAAACCAAAACCAAAAAAAAAAATCCAACATCAACAAATGATTCGCGAAAGCAGGTTACTGAACCAAAAAAACTGGCTGTGTTATGTGTTTTGTTTCATAGATGTGTGTGCGTGAAATTTGCGAAACTTACAAAAAAACTATCATCATTTTTTTTATTATTTATATTATTAATTTTTTATTATATATTTTTTTATTATTTTTTTTTTATATTTTCAAAAAATATAAACTATAAATTTTTGATTGAATACCAAACAACACAAGAGTTATGAACGGATCCAGCAGCGATTTCTCTCTAACATTAAACGAAAAATCGAAGAGAAAGAGGTTTTGTGTTTAAAAATAGATAGCTACATATATTTTCTTTGTCGGATGCCAAATACACTCATAATTCTTTGTGCAAATATTCACTCATACCATTATTATTATTTTTATTATTCTGATCAGTTATTTTGTTTACACAACCGCAGCAGCAACAACAACAGAAGTCTAAATAAATGTCTATGTTAAATATGGTTTACAATGATTAATCAACCTAGGGGGTGGCTGGTGGAGAGAAGAACATCGTTTGACGCGTTAGCGCTGATTTTCGATTCGGAATCTGATATTCGATAGTATGAAATTACTGTCGTATTTAGTTGTGCATGTTAATTGAAGAAGACATGACAACGGTATTTTTTTAATTTTGTCAAAAAGAAACAAAAGTCCGAAATTTCCGTAATAGAAACGTGCTAACACTCGGCTTACTGCTGTTAGGTCACAGACATTTTTTTATCAAGCCGCTAAGTGTTTCATAATCTAAAGTTATTTAATGCTTTAATTCCATTAAAAAGTACTTGAGTGTATGTTTCTTTGTGTCGTCGTCGTCGTTGTTGTTGTTATTTGCTTAGCGTCTCATTAATTGTTGTCACCGAAAAAACATCACTTCAAAAGATTTATTATTGGTCCCATGCGAATAGTAGTATGTACACTGAGAAAAGTGTCGGGGCTGAATAGCTTAGATGACGCTATGCAAAACATTTTCATAATTTATGCAAAGAGGGTGAATAATCGGCAATTAACACAACAATTTATAAAGTCATTAAAATGAATAAAATATATTCCCTTTAGAATAAGCGTTTTGCACATTGTCTTGCAGCCCGGCGTAACGAAATTAATTCCTGAGATAAATATGGATATTCTTTTCGCAATATGAAGTTTATAAAATTCTCACGCTAAGCCAACTGTCAACTGTCAAGATAGAAGAAAACGTCACACATATCCAACGGCTAAATCTGAATTTGAATTTTTGCACAAAAAATATCCTTCAATCTTCATGAATATTCAAATTTTGTGACAAGTAATTAAAACAGCACAAACATTTGTTAGGTTCGGTAGTGAAATAAACTTCTGCCTCTGTAAGTAAATATACAAATATCGCAAAAGTAGTGTTTGGCGGGTAATTTGGGATACCATTTGTATTTTGTTTTTGCAAAATAGTCAGGCTTAATCCCAGTTTGTTGTTTTTATAAAAAACAACTATTTATTAGTGGGGAATGTATGGCATTGTCCGCAAAAGAAATAAATATATTAGGAGTATTTATATTATCGCTTTGTGGTATGAATATATGGTTAAATAAGGGTATGGGAATGCTTTATGACTATTAAACTGTTTGCAATAATTAGTTTAATTTTTCAATACTTCCTCAGTAGTTGATTTTTGTAACTTCTTAACGGCAACACAATCTACAATTATGGATAACTTTAAATTATTTTTTATTGTGATTGTGAAAAAAATTTGTGAGTAAGTTGACGACTAAAAAATAATATAAAATTTTGATTTTACTGATTTTTTCACACTACAAGTATATTGAAATATTTATCATCACGAATTCCAAGTAATATAATATTATATTACTTGGAATTTGTTTCGATTAAGAAGATCGGGGGACCTTGTTCACAATTTAATTAATTATAATTTCATAAACAGAGGGAACATTAGCAACAATTATAAAATGAACTTCAGGGAGATATTGATACAGTATTAAATACTATATTGATCATTGGTACAGTATAAGTATAAGTGCTGATATCAAATTAGGTGTATTATACCAATATATTTTTATTTACAGGGAAATCATAAGACTATATTTGTTTTAATAACAAAATAGACTTTAAAACTCATTGAAGTTGAAATAATTAATATTTCGCAAACACAAAGAATAAGTAATCGCTCATTGAAATATTTTGATGTGATCGTTTTTATAC